CAACAGCTACCTAAGACATCACTATTAGTCTTCTTGTTTTGTGATTTTTAACCGCATAGTGTACTATAGGTACCTTATCAGCTTTCGTCAGGCCGATTCCTTAATATGTTATATCAGTCTGAACTTACTGGCAGGCTTTTCACGCGATAACGCATGGATCGGGACAAAGGAGCACCGCAATACAATATGCAGCAGCATTTAAGTAGTAAAAGGTGGCCGGTCGCATTCACCTGTCTTCGCAGTTCGCCATCTATAAACGGGAGTTGCACATAGAGGCAATTTGTTTGTTTCACTTTATTGTATATCACGACTTATTCGTGTACTTGATGTATTGTTAAACAGGAGGGTGCAAGATCTTGTAATGGGAGGGGAGTTTAACTTGAAAATGGACACATAGTTGAGCGCGCCACAGGCTGATCGAAAAACAGCATTGGTAATCATTGACATCGAAAACGCAAATTTACGTGACCGCAATCCGGGAGACATCGGGTTTTTGGGGTAGGTAAGATCAACCTTATCGGCTAGCCCCCCCCCCCCCCCAACCGATTGAGCAAGTGCCATCCCCCCGCCATGCTATTACACGATTATAAGAGTAAAAGGAGTAGTATGATTTTTGACCCTAGTCAGGGGAACCTATCGAGCGGCTCTGACTGACTTTCAACAATATTCTCGCCTAGACTATACGCGCATTTGTTTGTCCTGCTGTCATATCCGGTTATGGCTGATGCTCACTGCCAGATTAGAGGATCGGTATATCTGCAACACAGCAATGCAGTGTATTGGGTATATCACTGTTTTTTCTTAGCCAGATCGGCGTGTGCACGTGATCCCAGTGACTTGTCTGCAGCTAACTCGGAGCATCTGACCGTGGCTTGTTCAAGGACCTTTTTCTCCCCGGCTTCGCATCATTTTTATTGGCCACGTGATGACATCGAAGTGATTCCCCCGATCCTATCGTCGATTTGTGAACCATTCACAGACGGCCGCCACTGTGGCAGGTGCTGTCAGCGGCCCGGTGCCGAGTTCTCCGTTTCTCCGGCCCAGCTGTGTTTTAACCCCATTCAAGTGCGCGTCCCAAAGCCGGGCGGCGCGTGTGGCACCGCTCTGGTCAGATGCCGCCTCCGTTAGTAGCGGCGCGGCGGCGTCGCATCTGCCGCCGACGCGCCACTTCCCGGGGCGTTTTGGCCACGGGCGCCCGGCCGCGGTCGGCGCAGATGGTGTTGTTCGGTCAGACCGCTCAGAAAGTAACACGGCTGCCGCGGCGGCCGCACAGCCGGGCGCCGCGGCGGCCAGCCGGGACCAGCCGGCGCCAGCCGCGCCGGCGAAAACTGGCAAAAACGGCCGCGGGCTCGGTCGATTTGGGCGGCAGCACGTGCGGATGTGGCCAGCCTGCCCCTCGTTGTGGTCACCTGTCAGGAGTTGGTGGCGAATTACCATATCCCTCGGCAGCTGTTGCGTTCAAGCGGGCTGTCGTTAAATGACTTAAGCGTGGGCATACTCCTACACCCAAGATGCGACGACATTTGGAGTGGTAGAATGGCGAAGACCAAACAGATGCAGAAAAGGATGTCACAACAGTCTGCGCTACCATGCATGAGCCCGGCTTCGGAAATTGATAAAACAGTAGTATTAGCCTTATTCCTTGGAGAAAAAACAGGAGAATAGGGATATATGGGTTGATATTTCGGCAACATGCCTTTATCGAAACAATAGAACATCTTCTGCTTTTGTTTCGATAAAGACATGTTGCTGAAATATCAACCCAACTATATCTCCATTCTCCTGGTTTTTCTCCGATGAATAAGGCTAATACTACTGTCTTATCTATGTGAATAATGTTCCTCGCTAATGCACTGAGCAACCTATGATTTTGGAAATAGCATAACGGCATGTTTCCCGTTCGCTTCTATTGCCCTATTGAACTGTTGACGGAATGGATTGTTATCCCGAGCGGCGTCAGCGGAGCTCCTGCCCTGCAAATGGGTTGCTTCGCCACTTTCCTGACGTTCGTGATGTCTGATGGAGTGATCGCCAAGCTAGTGATCACGGCACCAGGGCGACCAGGTCACGACGCTCACGCCGAAGACGTGGACGGTGCGTGCGGTTACGGTCACCGATGGGGTCAGTCACCTGCAGCTAGTCAGGTGACAGCGCTGGCACTGACTCCGCTCACCGCGTCTAGTTTACTGCTCGCTGTGTCTGCGAAGCTTTGACTCCATGTCTTACTATGAACTCGGTCACTCCTTTTCGTGATATTTCACCATCTGTTTGGGTTGTCTACCATGCCGTAGTACCCAGTCAGTCCGACTGAGCATAGCTGGGAATTCTCTCGGATCAGCCATGGCATCCCCGGATGAATCGGTCAGGGATGGACTGCATCCAGGACAGAAGCATTCTTCCCACCTACCATACGCTGGATGTCCACCCATTCTGCGGTCATGTCCAATGAGGCACCGTAGCCAAGCATTGCACTTCCTCCCAGCCGTCCTTTGCATGTATTAGTTTGTCTTCGCCACATTTACGAGCTGGGTAGATCCGCGTGAGGCCTATCTTCCTCCGCCGCCCCGTTTATCTCGGCCAGCGCCCGGCGCGGCGGCGGCGGCCGACACCGCTCCAGACCCGTCTCGCCGATCAGGCCGTGAATGAGCGGCGGATCAGCCTCCGTTAGCGGCCGGCCGCCGCATCTGCGCCACTGTCGCGCCCGCGCCGCAGACGCCGCGCGACAGGTGCCGGCCCGGTCCGGTCCGTCTCTCGCCGTGTTAACGCAGCGCTGGTCCGGCTGGCCTGGCTGCGGCGCCGACCCGCCCCGAAACAGTCCCGGTGCTGTGCAGCGGTCCGAAGCAGGTGCAGTTTCGACGTTCTGACGCTGTGATGCAGTCGCGGCGCGGTGATGCAGTCCCGGTGCCGTGATGCAGTCGCGGTGCCGTAATGCAGTTCGGACGCTGTGATGAAGGCTCGGTACTGTAATGCAGTTGTAATGCAGTCAAACGCTAGAGTGGTTCCGACGTTCTGACGCTGGGATGCAGTCCCGGCGCTGTGATGCAGTCCCGATGCTGTGATGCAGTCCCGGCACCGTGGTGCAGTCCCGGCGCTGTGATGCAGTCGCGGCGCTGTAATGCGGTCCCGGCGCTGTAATGAAGGCTCGGTGAAGGCTCGGTACTGTAATGCAGTCAAACGCTACAGCGGTTCCGACGTTCTGACGCTGGGATGCAGAACCGGCGCTGTGGTGCAGTCGTGGTGCTGTGATGCAGTCCCGGTGCTGTCATGTAGTCCCGGTGCTGTCATGCAGTCCGGGCGCTGTGATGAAGGCTCGGTACTGTAATGCAGTCAAACGCTAGGGCGGTTCGGACGTTCTGACGCTGTGATGCAGTCCCGGCGCTGTGATGCAGTCCCGGTGCTGTGATGCAGTCCCAGTACTGTGCAGGCTCACATATACGGCCCGGGGATGCGTGCAGGGCCGCCGACGCTGAGTGCCTGTAAATTATTCATCGCTGGCGCTTCCTTCAATTTTGGGCTGTTCCACATGGCTACCGGCTGCCTCTTGGGAATAATCACGGTTCAGTCACGGTACACTGATGCAGAAAAGAATACGGAGAAATCAGCGAGCTTATCAGATCCTTGCTTTGCCCATGTTCCGCATGAGAATCTCCAAATCATTGGGCTTCCAAATTCCTTGCTTCACCGGTGATTGATAAGCCAGGCTGTCTTACGCTGACCAGTGTCGTCACCTCGTATGTGGTCTAAACACTTGTCCAAAAGAAGGTAATGACCAGCAATGGACTGTCATTGAGCCGCTATCCATCGCCAATGCATTTCTGTCGTGCCAGACCGGTGTGCTGATCAGTTCTGGTTTGCAATCAGCCACGCCCCGCGTTTGGCGGCCTCATGTCACGACTTGGTCGGGTCGAGTTTGACTGCCGAGGGGCGGCGTTCCCCAGCCCCCTGCGGCGGCGGCGCTGGCGGCTCCGGCGCGTCGCCCCATTGTTAGTTACTCGGTCACCGTCGGCTACCACTTGTCCTGAACTGTCTCGTTTCGGCGCTGACGGATGTCATTTGATCACTGGGTCACGCCGTTTGAAACGTGGCTAAACTGACTGGTCTTCTGTCTGTCGCTCTTCGGTCCCCAAACCTCCACTTGCTGATCTGCGCACGACTGGGACCTGGGGCTAAACGGGCGGACTTTCCAGCCAATCACGGAACCTACCCCACACGCCACGCGCTCCGGCTCTCTTTGAGGCGACGTTGCGTCGCTAAAAGCCCAGCAGAGTGTCCCGGATGCGAGTCGGAGCGGCACCCGCTGGCGGCGCTCTAATTAGCCTGCAGAATCGCACGCTCCTTCCGCGTGAGACGGGAAGGCCGGTCGCCGACCGGCACCACCTCCCCGAGCCGCTCGCGTCGGGAGGAGGCGGCGATGAATTCGTAAGGGGCCCGCCGCCGGCACGGCCCGGCACGGCGCGTCGGTGGCGCGTGCCGCGGAGGGGCACCCGCTGTCGACGCACGCGCCGCCGACGGCCGTGTCACCGGCCCAAGGTCGTGCCGCTGCTCCAGGCGGCGCCCGGCTGATGGCGCGCGCGACTTCGGAGTGGAAGGGCATGCCAAGTCGACAGACGTGATGAGGTTCTGGAAGGATGGCAGAGTGATGTCGGGACGGCCCATTTCCGAGGCCTGAAGTTTCGGCGGCGGATCCGCACGCACGGCCTCACGTTCAGTCGTGGGGTGGAAACGTAAAAGCTGATGGGAGCTGTTTCTGGCGGTGCCATCCACGAGAAGGACTGCTACCTTCGTTCTGTTTCGGCCTGTGTAGTGGGCTCGATCCTGTCCACGGCTATTTGTCGTGCAGGTGGTGTGCTATCTGGAATTGGCCTCGGCCCGGAACGTGGCTAGGTGGCGCACTTTGTTGGTGGTGAGCGGCTCGTCTTCAGCAGTGAGCATGTTGGGTAGTGTTCCCTTTCTGTCGCGACGAATGTCGCAACTCAAGCCAGCGTGCTCCTTCCTTTCAGCTTCGAACAAGGCGGACTATGGACTGGAGGACCTGCAGAATCTGAACGTCAAGGACCGCTTCTCGGTGTTCGAGCGCACCAATGAGGACGACCAGGAGAAGGGCCTGGCCTCAGTTGAGGTCAAGCGCTCGCAGAGCATCCTCAACAAAATGAAGAGGTACGCCCCGAATAACCGGTACTGCAGTTATGCAATACCATACCATCTGTATGGCATTTTGCTCAATTATGCCCGCGATGGGGGAGCCGCACTCTCGTGTTTGGTTCATCATATTCGTTCCTCCGATTACGATGAACCGATGTTTCATTTCGTGTATGTATCGTGTCAGAGATGCTTCTTACTGGTTTTACTGAGTTTGTTCTGAGTTTCTGGTACTGCTCTCTAAATTGACCTGCCGAAGTTTGTCCCCCACGCGTTGCTACGCGTCCCGATCTACAACCCCCGTCCGGCGCAATACCAGCGCCGCAGTTCCGCCTGGCGGCGGCCGCGGCAGCACTAGTGACGTGCCCGACCACCAGGTTCCAGGAGCGTGACTCGGCGCGGGACGCGGACTCGGCCTCCGGCGACGAGTCGGCGGACTCTGGCGACGAGCATCGGCGCGACCCGGACCTGGTGCGCTCCACCAGCAAGACACGGCGCGAGCGGCCCATCAGCTTCTCCGGCCTGGGAGACGTGAAGAGCCGGTTCGAGGGCGGCCGCCGCGAGCCCACGCCCGACGACAAGGGCGAGCAGACCAAGCTGCGCGGCATGATCTGCGGCGTGAGTGTGGCGGCCGCCGCGCCGGCATGTCCGTCTCGGTGCTGTGTCGACTGACCCGCGGCGCGCTGGGAGGTGTGTGGCAGGGCGGGGCCGGGTCACTGAGTACACGCCCGTGAAGCGGCCGCTCTGCTCAGTGAGTGGATGTGGGGGCGGCACATCGACGTGGGACACGGCGTCCCTCTTAATTCATTCGAGATGGTGGTGTGACCATTGGCGACGCCATGGTCCCATCATGAAGCTCTCAGAACCCTGTGCATGTTTTGCATTTCCGTTTGGTTGCCGCGTCGTCCGGTGCGCGTGGCTTTGTAGCTCGTGTGCGGCTGCATGCATGCGCCAGCCCGCGCCGGCCGAGTGCCGGGCGTCGAGCGCGCCTGAGCGGCCGCCCCTGCCCGTAGGCGCGCGAACACAAGCTGGCTTACGAGGAGGCCCTGAGGGAGCAGGAGGCCCAGGCCGAGAGCCGACGCTCTCTGGAGGACCCGAGCCTCGTCGTCCAGGTAGTAGAGTAGCGTCGGGTGCCGCATGACCCACACTCGGTAGACCAGGCTCGCAGGTGTCGCATGGTTGTACGGTGGCGGTGCTGGACCCTCTAAAAGGTCACGGTAGCGGGCACTCGCCCCTATCCGCCGTACTGCTCACTGAGGAGGTGGCGGCAGTCTTCGTAATATCTGTACAGCGGGCTCCAGAGCAGGTGCACTACGGCCCACATGCGCGAGTCTCATGCGGGGCCGGTGGTGCCGTTCCGTGCAGAAGGCGCGCAGGATACTTCAACGGCCTGAGCCGTGGTTCGGTGCCTCACCCCAATATTGCGCGCGACACCTCGCCTCATTGGCCAGTGTGGTGACCCCGCTGTAACAGCACAGCGTCCTGGAAGCCAGACGCGCTGTAGCTGCAGCAGAGGAGGCTTCTTGGGACGAGCCTTGCTGTAGAGCATCGCTGTGTGGAACCTCATTGACATTTCATGACAGGGACTCTTATGATGCTCTTCCGTCGTCGCTAATAACGATACTTCTTAAACGTGTGACGTGGCGCCTCCTGAGGCGGGTGCGGCGCCGGTGCGTGTTATCGCACTGCGTCGTACCACCAGCAGACTAACATAGACGTACTCAGCTGACGCCATGCACGCCGGGTGGGTCTTCAGCTGTGGTGCCCATGTAACACGTGACGGTGCTGGGCTGTCTGTCTGCAGAACTCTTGTGAGTACTTGCTGCCAGTGCTTATTCAGTGGTGTTGGTTTGTTTGTTGTTGCGTTCTGTTCTCACGCCGTTCATTAGTCATTGGGCGTTCGTAGATGTTTATCTACAGTTAAAAACCTGCTTCAAGCTGATATATATATATATATATATATATATATATATATATATATATATATATATACCATCTTCACACAACTCTCTCTCGTGTATTGCTGGCCGAGGATGGCTTATTTTCCACTCCGTGTAATTGATTTTGAATCCCACCCTGTATCATAGCATCGAATGCTTTGGCGACTATAAGAACTGTGCTTGTCTTCGGCTCGTCCACAACTCGGCTGCGCGCTGCGTTAGTCGCTCCTCGTAAGCGCCTGTCCAGCTGACAGCGCTCGAGTGGAGCGCTCTCGCCCTCGCTGACCTCGGTGTCCGGACCGACCGCCAGGGTAACCTGCGGGCCTCATACGAGCGGGCGGTGCAGGAGTCCGGCTCGCCGCGGCCGGCGGCGGCGCGCGACCACGAGGCCGTGACGCGCCGCAGGGCGGCCGACATGGCGTCCCGCTTCGAGCGCGGCGACGTGGCGTCCGCGGAGACCGACGCCGACGCCGACGCGCCGGCCGTCAACGAGAACGGTACGGACGGCGGCGGCGGCGCCAGCGCCAAGCCGGCGGCTGCACAGCGACACGCAGGGCTCGGCCAGGGTGTGCGCGCAGAACTGCGAGGTGGCGGTTAGTCACTAAGCCCACACGGACGCGGTTAATAAGCTTCAAATCTGGAGTGGGCAGGCACGGTCGACGTCATCGTAACCGGCCCGCGCTATCTAAAGCTGCGTTATCGGTGCCCGTCTACCCCGTCGTCTTGAGGCTCAGACCCTGCACAGCTGCCGTTGAGTGAGTAGCGCTTCGTGTCGTCCTGTGCTCCGCGGGCTGCCTGCGGCGTCACCTGACCGGCCGTGGTCTGGCGTGACTGTCCCGGCCCCGGCTGACACGCCCCGCTCCACCTCGCTGCAGGCGGCAGTCACAACGGCCACTCGCTGGCCCACGACCAGAGCTCGGCGGCAGGAGAGTCAGCCCTCGCCAGCCTGTCGTCGGACGCCGGCGGCAGCGAGCTCGCCAGGGTAAGTGTGCAGCGACCGCCCTCCGTCGCTGTGCCGCCCGGCCGGCAGCAGCCCGCGCAGCCGCCGGCCCCGCCGCCAACGCACGCGGCCGCTGTCAACTGAGACGTCCTGGTGTCGTCCGCCGGCGCGGACACTTGCTGGTGACGGGAGAGTGCGTGCAGTGGAAGCCTCCTGTGTATTGTCTCCGTGTCAATAAGATTCCGCGTTATGAACTTGCGACATGGTTTCTTTTGCACACTCTGTGCGCCCTCGCCTGGTGCAGAGATGGCGACGGTGCGTTCGAGGCATGCCGAGAAGTAGGCGGTGGCGGCTGCAGCTTAGGACGTCGCTCAGGCGTGCTCCTCGCCGATAATCCTGACATCGCCCACCGCGTGGTAGCCACCCGCTGCTGCCGGCCCGGGTAGCGGCCACCTGTCCACCCGCTGGTACCGTCCCCATGGTGGCCACCTGCCCTTCCGCTGGTACTGTCCGGGTGGCGGCCACCTGTCCACCCGCTGGTACCGTCCTGGTGGCGGCCACCTGTCCACCCGCTGGTACCGCCCCGGTGGTGGCCACCTGCCCACCCGCTGTCCGGCGTCAGCTGGCCCTGGCGCCTTGCAGAACTCCCCGCAGTGTTGGGCCAAGAGGCCCGGCCGGCGCGGCGACGTCGTGGCGCCCAACTCGGCCATCTCCAGTCGGTTCCAGTTCTTCGAGGGTCTACGGCAGGGCGAGCCGCGGCGCGCCCGCTCGTTCAGGGCCACCCCGCCGCGCGCGCACAACGCCAAGGTGCTGACCGGCAGCCACCTCACCGGCGGCGGCGCCGGCTCACTCCTGTCGCTCGCTCGTGGCGTTTTTTTCTGACTGCGGCCGTTTTTGCCGCGGCACCCTCTCCGCACACACTTCTGGCCTTTCTGACCGCGAAGCACTTGTTTGCTGTCCGCTGCGTGAAGTTTTGGAGTGCTGTAGTGTTGGTACTTTTATGGTTTCGCCCTCTTGGTCGTGTGGTAAGTTGGCTAGATGCATTCCTCTCGCTAGCTGCCTTTCACAGAGGCTCCAGAAGACACCTCGTCTGCCTTTTTGTAGTCTATCGCTAGTGTCTGTCCCCTCGATGCATGGAGGTAACTGGCCTTTGCGACTCTCCAGCAAGCTAATAACCCAACGAGCACTGTCAAATTTGTGACCGCTTCACTCCCGTTGGATGAAACACGTGTATATAGAGAGCCATCCAAAATCAGCCGCGCAGTTCTGTGCAGTGAGTGTCAAGTGGGGCGTGTACCGAAGCGTGCCATAGACTTGCCGCTCCTTAGCAGAGGCCTATCCTGCCACTGGCAGAACCGCTGTGCTATCAGCATTATATCAGCTGCTGCGATTAGCGGGCCGCTAAGCCTCCGATAGCGCCGCCGTTTCTGGTACTGTGGGCGCGGTGCACCAGGACTGCCGGTCTGTCGTGTACACCGGCCCGCGGCCTGGCCGGTCGGCCGGCGGACCGCGTCACCTGCGCTGACCGCTGACCTGTGCTGACCGCTGACCACAGACCTGTGCTGACCACTGGCCTCTGTTGACCGCTTCACCTGCGCTGACCGCTGACCTGTACTGACCGCTGACCACAGACCTGTGCTGACCACTGGCCTCTGTTGACCGCTTCACCTGCGCTGACCGCTGACCTGTAACGACCGCTGACCACAGACCTGTGCTGACCACTGACCTCTGTTGACCGCTTATCTGTGTTGACCTGTGCTGACCGCTGACTTGTGCTGACCGCTTATCTGTGTTGACCTGTGCTGACCGCTGACCTGTGTTGACCTGTGCTGACCGCTGACCTGTGCTGACCGCTGACCTGTACTGACGCTGATCTGTGCTGACCGCTGATCTGTGTTGACCTGTGCTGATCGCTGACCTGTGCTGACCACTGACCTCTGTTGACCGCTAATCTGTGTTGACCTGTGCTGACCGCTGACCTGTACGGACGCAGGGGGACTCGCCGGACGGTCAGGCCGTCATGGAGGCCCCGGTCGCCGACCCGGAGCTGCTGCACAGCGACACCACCAAACGCATGCTGAGGCAAGTTCAAGCAGATGGAGCAGAGCACCGGCAACACAGACGAAGGTATGTCGAGCTGGGGTTGGCTCTGTCGAGGGACTCGCATGAGTCTGACAGCGCTTTTGAGGGTTAGCACAGATAATCTGGGTTTTTAGATGCATCTGTAGTGTAAAACGAAACAAGAATATGATAATTCGCACTGCTTGCTATTGTTACTGGTGTTGTTATGGCCTGTCATGACTATTCTGTTTTCAATGCGTTAAGATCGCTTCTCGGTTGGTTGTACCGTGTCAGTACCATTTGAAACGACAGCCAGCCTCCTGTTCTCAACGCAGCTAAGGAAAACGAAGTCAAAACAGTTCAGGAGCGTGTCCAGGCTTTCATGGGCCTGCAGAACAAAAAGAAAAGAGTCGCTCCAAAGCCGGCCAGAGATACGAAAAAGCCTTTTGAACCTGGTAGATCAATTCACATACGGTTCCTCTAGTTTGCTTGGCTCTGTTTAGTTGGTCAGTGTATCCTTCGCCCGCACCCGCTTGGAGAGTAAGCATGCTTATGCAGCTGAAGGTATGGCCCCCACTATCTGAACCTGATTTGCGGTGCCCTGAATGTTACGCGTCGCTTGTTACAGTTCTGTGGCTTGTGAGATCGGTCCACTCAGCGAAATGCAAGTGTCTCAAACTTGCCGTATGCTTGATTTCTACCGTGGGCATTGATTGTAAAAGCCTCGCGGCACCATAAGCAGGAAGATACTTCTAAATGCATGGCGTATTTGGTCGTGCTTCCTGGCATCGCCCTCGCATGCCGTGATTCTGTTCACTTCTGATTGGTTGGTCGCACATGTGACGTCACAGAGCTGAGCCTGAATCGCGAGAAGGCGCACGGTAACGCTCGTCAGATCCGTCCAAGTTCCGAACAGATGGAGGAAGATGCGCACAAGGAAGACCTGCCGGACGGTGAGGCTTCTAAAGACACTGCAGCCCAGCCGATAAAAGCCGTGGTCGTCCCACAGCAATCTCACATGCATGCGATTTGGTATCAGTTTGGCTTGGCACTTTCTCACCGGTGACGTTACTGGTCAATGTGAAAGCACTCTAAATAAAGCTGATTTTGCGGGAATGTCTCTCGTCGTTTTCCATAAAAAACGGATTTCATGGGTTGAATTTGTGTGTACCGTGTTTGTGCGAATGGCTGATGTTTACGTGACGGGGAGCAGACTGTTTTCGTGCACGTGTAGCCATGAAGGCCAAACCGCGTGCTCTTCTCGACCGCCGCTGCCGGCCGCGCACGAGCGTGACAGTGTTGTGCGCGGCGCAGGCCCGCGCCCGCTCAAGTCGTTTCCGCCACCGCCGGAGGAGCCGGCCGAGCCAGAGGAACGCGGCTGAGGACAGCGAGGAGGGAGCCGGAGGACCCCGACATCATCCCGTGCCAGTCACAAGGTGCCCGACGAGTTTCTCAACAAGGTGAGATAGCGTCTGTAGTTAGGAATTTCGGAGGGGGGGGGGGGGGGGAAGCCACCTCGCAGGCGGGTGGGTCGGCCGCAACAGAGGTTGTGGTCGCGAAGAATGCGTTACATGCAGGCATGCAGGAATATAGGTACGTGACCAGTGGAATGTGGGGTTGTACGCGATCTCCGCTTTCTTTTGGAAATCATGGCAGCTATTGATGATATATGTCGTTGTGTTGGGCTTACCCGTAAGACGATCAAAGCCGACGCACTCTAATTCTGAGCTCGCGTCAATGCCCGAGTCAGTCGCCGCGGCGACGCCCGTACCCCTAATCTCCCCCCCCCCCCCTGTTCCGTAAGGCCGCCCTGATCTCCCTCCCGCCGGCAGCGCACGGACCAGGCTCGCTCGCTGCGGGACAAGTTCGAGAGCTGGGGCCCGCCGGCCGGCCGCGACGACAAGTTCACCGTGGAGGACGATTGTCGGCCCAGTCTCGAGATCACGCGCAGTCTGCGCGCCAAGTTTGAGTCGCTGAACGAGCCGCAGAAGCCGGCTGAGAAGACGCAGCACCGGGCCAGCCGCTTCATCGTGAGTGGTCGCCGGCGCCAGCAGGCGGGCGGGTGGGTCACACGCGGGAGACAGCCCTCCGTCTGTGTCACCGGTGTTTTGGCAGTGACATGCGCCTCTTGTACTCGCTGCTTCCTCGCTTTTGTGGTGTGTTTCCGTGCCTTTGGCTGAGCGGCGGTCCTCCCCGACATGTGGCGGCCTGATGGGCTGCGGAGTCAGGCTGGGGATAGGCGTGGGACAAACCGGAGCAGACCTGCCCCCCCCCCCCCACACACACATTACCGCGGGCAGGCTGATGATAGTCAGTCATGGGAATACTGGCACCGGTGCGAATTTCAAGCATGTGGCGGGCGGCGGGCATTCCAAGGGGCTGATCGATGTACAACGACAGCGGCCGCGGACGGCGATCTCCTGATCTGACTGGCCTGATCTGGCTGTGGCCACTCGCCAACCGACTGTGTCCGAACCGCGCCACCCGTCGTCGTGCCTAGCGAACCGATCCGTGCTCCCCTGGTCTTGAAAAGCCATCCAAATGCACGTTAGCGAATCCTTCCAAATCGTGAAGATCTGCTGCTCGCTACAAAGCCAGGACAGAGACTGACGTGGCAGAGGCTAGGTGCGGGTGCTGGCTCGTCGGACGGTGCCGGGTTTGCAGTCGGTTGCAGTCGTGCCGGGGCTGTAGTCGCTCAGTCGGACGGTGCCGGGGTTGCAGGCGGCCGGCGCCGCTGCGTGCTGGGCTTTGCGCTGTATTGCCTGGCACTGATCGTCACCTGAGGAGCAGCGGGCCGGGCCGCCAGCGGTCAGCCCTGTGGGGCGTCACCCGGCCTGGGCGTCAGCTTCCCACGTGACGTGCTCTAGTCGTGTGTGTCGGTGTGCTCTGTGTCATTCCAGAAAGCCCCGTGGACCGGAGTCGCCACTGGATTAGCGATTAATAGGCGTTTACTAATACGCCTGCTCGTCTCACAGCTGTACAGTGCGGTGGCTAACCGTAGGTGGCGGTAGCAGGACGGGACTGTCTAACGCTTGAAATAATCCACGCCGCCGTGTGTAAATTGCTATATAGACGCGTGCAGTTAAAATGATATGCGGTATGATTGGTATTAACCGTAACAATATCGTGGTTGTGTTTGGAGTGTTGTAGTGACCGGCGCTTTGGGTCTTGCGATGACTAAGCGCGATACAATTGTAACCGACGCCAGGTCAGTCTCATATTTGATAAAAACACCATTTTGCACAACTCGCTCCCAGCATTCCACCCTGAGTTTTCAAGTATTTTCTTCCCAAGAGCTGTCATGCAGACTGTCTGAAATGACTCTGAAGTGTCACGTCAAACAAGTATACCGCACTTCTGTAGGGCTGACGTTGAGGCCAGCACGTTGCAAAAAGTTACAGAATAAAGAGCTAATGTTAGCAAACAAAAAGTCGTCGGGACAAAATACCGTACGGTCTATCTACGTATATATATATATATATATATATATATATATATATATATATATATATATATATATATATATATATATATATATATATATCAACTTATTTATTTAAAACAATATTCTGTGTGAATAACTGCAAACTATTCAGATAGTTGTATAATTAGTGTTCAAGATGTGTCCTAAGAGTTGTGATTGATTCGCCATTTATATCCTTCGTTCAAACCTTCGCTTCGACGGACGACCCTGACCCGGCTTGCAGTGGCGCGAGCGCCCCCTGCCGGCGCCCCTCCGCTGGGCTGACCCGGTCTGTTGGCCCCCCAGTGAACGCCGCACGCCGCTCCCGCGCGGCCGCCGCCGCAGCGCGCCCCACCGGCGTCCGCTCCGACTGTTGGACGCGCCGCCAGGGCGCGCTGGGCGTAGATGACGGGATGTCGGACGGCGCTTGGCGTGGGACCAAACTGTGCAGACGCGGACGCTGCGAGTGTTGTTCGAGTGTTGTGTGTCGTTGTGTGGAAGCGAGACGGTTAAACATGTTCATGGTTGTTGCGCGCTACGATAAGCCGCTAATATCGCTGCGCCTCTCTTCGCGTTCGCGCTTTCTGGCACTTTCGCAACTGGACACAGCGCCATCTGTAAATGCGTGCCTTTCTAATACAACATATCTGCACATTCCTTGCACTCTCGACAGCTTTCTGACAACTGCACGACAGATTTCCAGACAGACGGGGACGGGTAACAGACAAGTAAGTTGTTTCTGAGCGCGCCTCCCGCATGCTCTAACCCTTCACCCGACACCTGTAGCCGTAGCCCTCAGCTTGTTTCAGACTGGTGACACGTGACCGTACCGCCGAGTACGCACGTGGTCACGTGACGCGCGGGCCGGTGGCATGAGCTCGAGGCCCATCCGCCCTGTTGGCTCTGACTCAGCTGTTAGCTAACTACGGTACTAGAATTGCCTGCGCTTTCCTGTTGGGCATTTTCAGGTGCGAACGTTCCGTATCGGCGGCTTGCAGCTGAGACGAGCGTTGTGTTCTGCGTTCGTGTGGGTCGTTCTGTCTGCTGGGTGTATCAGGTGTGGTTGTGTCCCCGGTGTTTCAAAACCAAGTGCGTTTTGAGATTCTTGCTGTGCCGTTTGCAAGAACTTTTTTGTTCAATTTGAATCCACCCTCGCCCTTGTGTTCCTGCCGCTTGCGCCCGAGTTGGCGTTCAGCTTCGCGGCTTGATAACCCGTAGCGATACCTGTCATGGTCTTCCCACTTCTTATCAAGAGTGACGTTATTCCCCGCGCCTTTAGTCCGCCCGAGCCCGAATGTCGTTCAGTGATTCGGTGCGACTTCATACCATATATCACATATGATATACATATATCTCTATCTTTCTATATATAATATAACATTCATATATATATATATATATATATATATATATTATTGGTATATATTGTTATTAATATGTATGCATTAAATATGTTGTATATATATATATATATATATATATATATATATATATATGTACAATAATTTCTATATCCGCGCACATTCCTTCCCCGGGAGGGGGTCCTCTGGAAGTCACCTATTTCCCCCTGCAGCTACATCCGTCCCCTCTTCCGTGCATTAGTTGTCAGACCCCACGAGACGTCTCACGTTCTACCCTCGTGACTTCTGGCGCTGACACCCGGCGGCGTCCCCAGATGGAGCCGAATCAGGCGGCTGAGATGTGCGACGCCTGCAACAAACGCGTCTACGCCATGGAGCGGCTCGAGGTCGACAAGCGAATCCTGCACAAGAACTGCTTCCGCTGTTCAAAGTGCAACTGCGTGCTGAGGTAGGGCCGGCGGTGGCGGTGGCATGTACGGATGTAATGCTGGGTTTGGAGCGCCGCGCGGGCGCGTGGTGGATCGCGACTTTATGAGGGACTCAGTTGAGACACGTCTCTATAACAAAGTACGCCGCAAGTTGTGTGCGAAGTGCGCAGGACGAACGAACGGGCGCTGACGCAAGTCAGTGCGGTATGCGTGACATATAATGGCGCGGTTCATACGGTGCGCGCGAAATTTCTGGCGCGCTTTGTCGTCTTCAGGGGCAGTAGTTGGAGCACTGGGCTTTGGTTTGCTGACCGCGTCTGTCCTCATTTCAGAATGGACACCTACACATTTAATGCAGGGAAACTATTTTGCACGCCGCACTTCAAGCAGATGTTCAAGACCAAGGGCAACTACGACGAGGGCTTCGGCCTCGAGTCGCGGACGAAGCACTGGAGCAGCAGCACACGGACCACTCGGCCAGCAACGGCACCAATGGCGCCGCACCGCGGCCGGGCAACGCACCAGCCGAGACGAACGGCGGCAGCCCCGAGCCGCGTGACGCGGACGATAACCTGGAGCCGCCGCAGGAGGAGGAGGAGGAGGGGAGGAGCGGGAGCGGGAGGAGCAGGAGGAGGAGGACGAGGTCATCCTCGCCCGCGACGAGGCCGAGCCGACCGCGGACGTGTTTCAAAAGGTGTACGAGTCGACGGTGGCGGAGAACATGTGATGAGCGACGACGAGCGATCATTTATCCATGCCCGGGTGGATGGCCCGCGCCGACGGCCCCTTTCCGCCTGCGCCGACGCCGCGTGAGAGACTCTGTAGACAACGCTTGCGTTATTTTTTTCTGAGCTGGTGGGCGACGCTCGTCTGGTGCGCGCTTGGACGCCTAGTTTTACTGCGGAGTCGCCGCCGCCGCCGCCGCCGCCGCGTGAGTGCCGAGTCCAAGCCGGACGATCGGGAGAGACGGCGGTGCGGCACTGTGATGATTGTCGCCCGCTGGCCGGCGGGCCACCCGCCTGCTATGAACCGTCGCCGGCGCCCCTGCTATAGTCGCAGTGCCCGCTTCGCCGTTTTAGTTTCGTAGAGAAATTTTATCCGTCTCGCACTTTGTATTTTGTTATTTTAAAGTGCTTTGTATACAATGATTGAGAGCCATTTAAATATAAGTTAAAGTCTTAGTGTGTTGAGTGTGGTGCTCAGTGACCGTTGTCGCCCTTACGTTGTTGAGACGAGAGGACAGAAAATGATCATCGTCATGCGGCGGCCCGGGACAGACAACTATAATCAAACCCGTAGATTATGGCTGTGTGTACTCGAAAGCACTTATGCAGGCCCTTCAGCTTGTAGGACAACAAAGGCGTCAGATCTTTTGTATGTTGATTTACCTCCGGTCGACGTGCCCCTTTTTGTTCAAATCACCTCGTGACCACAAGGCTAACTGCGGCGGACGTGCACGAAGAGTGATGGCCATAATATGGCCACCAGGGAAAAATGCTTAGAAACATACCCAAATATTGCGACTGGCGCATTCGATGGCGCTCGTACATGCCTGTCAGCTGCCAGCAAAACACACTCCTCCGATTTCTCCTTCGAATCTTTCTCCCGTCGATCCCCGAAAGCGCATCACTCAATGTAGGCCGGCTGGTTGGAGAGGCTGTTTGCAAAAACACGGCGTCCAACTTGAAATACTTTTACTTGTGTCAGGAAGGTGCAACTCTTCTGTAATGACGTCATGCTATTAATGCCATCGGCCGGCAACGCTAATTTTTATTCGGTAACCGTCACCTTTTTTGTTCAAATCATCTTAGCAGTAAAGAACTAACGGCGGCGTGCCGCTGCATGCAGCGATTTCGAGAAAGCAGGGAAAAGCCCGGGAAAGTACTTATGATCAAGCTGAAAAACCGTGGCTTAGTGCGTTCGATAGAAATGGTATCGGAATAATTGCTATGTGAAAATATTTGAAAAACTGGTACTTCTGCGCGGAAGGTGCAATCTCGTAATAACGATGTTATTGTAGAAGCATTGTGGACCGACATTGAAAATATCGCAATGGCACATAACCTTTTTTGCTCCAATCGTCCTTTGACGGCGCGGAGCTAACGGTGGCCGGCTTGCACATTTAGTGATGACATCCAATCACCCTTTGACAGCGCGGAGCTAACGGTGGCCGGCCTACACATTTAGTGATGACATCCAATCACCCTTTGACAGCGCGGAGCTAACGGTGGCCGGCCTGCACATTTAGTGATGACATCCAATCACCCTTTGACAGCGCGGAGCTAACGGTGGCCGGCCTACATATTTAGTGATGACATCCAATCACCCTTTGACAGCGCGGGGCTAACGGTGGCCGGCCTACATATTTAGTGATGACATCCAATCACCCTTTGACAGCGCGGGGCTAACGGTGGCCGGCCTACACATTTAGTGATGACAATGGCGGCCCAGGAAAAATGTTTATTTGAAAACTGAGAACTGCCACTGTGTGCATTCGATGGCGCCGGTATAGAGCTATCAGTTGCCAGCAAAACACACGCGTCATATTTTGGTTTTGATTGTATCTGGTCGCCCCGCCGACTGCCAATCACTCAATGCCTGCGGGTCTGAAGGGGCAGCTTGACAGCGCTTTGCCAGCGGCGGCCAGCTTGTACGTAGACTGATGGTCATAACACGGCTGCTCGTGAGAATATCTGAGATTCAACCCGAAGGTTGCCGTTGGGTATACTCGATGACACTGGTAAAGGTCCGTCACCAGCCAGCACAACGCACGCGTCGAATTTTTGTTTCGATTGTATTCGCTTGACCTACGACAGCGTATCACTCAATGAATGCGTGTTGGCAGTAGACATGTCGTCCGGCAACTAGCAACAGATGCCTCGTCCAATTTGAAATAACGTTATTTTTAAAGGGAGAGGCATCCTCGCGCAAACGACGTTCTTGTGGGAGTACTGTCGGCCGGTTATGTAAACCTCGCATCAGCGGGGAAAAACCCCGATCACCGCTGCGCGGCGGCCCAGCGAACTGTCTGCCCATCAGGCGCTGGGTGCGAGATTATGTAACCCTCCCTCAGACAGGTAACGATGCGACACTCTAAGGATTTTTGAGGATGCCTCTCCGGCTTGTTGTACAGTCGTGCCCAAACTTTCAATAGCCCATAGACATCAAATTGCGTGTGTTTTGACAACAGAAGCGTTTTCCTAGCTTTTCTGGTTCCGGATTACCGCCGGTTTTTTGGGAACAATGCATGGCGATCTACGGCGGCGCGGGCGACCGGAGATGAAAAAGCTCACTGCTAGCTGTTGATGTATTTCAAGTCGAAATGACTGCTCTAGACAGCACGACTTCTCTGTTCAGTACATATGTTCCTTAATACGTCACTGTTGGACTGTCACCGTACCTTGCAAACATTTATTGAGAACCAATTAACGGCCGTCATATCTGGAAATCGTGCGAACGAACGTCAAATATGAACGCCTCGACAATTATATTTTCACGGCCTTGATCGGCGCATGACAAACGGAATGACAGGATTTTAATGACGTTATCATGAGGGCTGTGAAATGCACCGAATGATTTTCAAGATGGCTTTTGCTGTTCAAAACCCCATACAAATGTGGAACACTCACTTCCACTGAACCATATGTCATAAATATATCATAACACACAAAAATAGACACAACTGTACTCATAATTGAACAAGGAACACGCCTACTTTAGTTTCGTCTCACCAGGAGGCATGGTGACACAAAACTGATGTACGACGTGTGAAAAGAACGCACTTTTGAACGATGTTGTAAAGCTGAGAAGTACGATTTTTTGGATAAATTGACCTTTGATCTGATATGATGTAGTCAATGACAGATCTAACAACATGACAACTAGTATTAATCACGAGATCTCGTCGAGACCAATCCACTGATGTTTTCCACTCAACTTTTAGGGAACGCCAGGGGGTCGCATCGCCGTTCGCCTTCCCACACGGCGAAATCGGAGATATATGAAAAACGGCCAACCGGAGCGGCCAGTTAACAACCCGGCTGACATCATTTCTGCGCTGGAGCGCTCAGTGCGAGAGCTCCCTCGAGCCGGCTGCGTGACAAAGGTGTTTGCGTTCCTTTGGGCGACTATGGCGCTAGAAACTACAGCGGAGCTGGAAATCGTTGGTGGTTTGGAGTCCTTCATGCACGGTGAACACATCACTAGCCGTTTCTAATACATCCGCTCTCGCCTTTACGAAACGATAGCTGGTCGGCATCTAATGCGCTTCTGCGCTGTGTCCACCAACACACTGAACCGCCTGCCGAAGCGTGTCTTCATCGTGCTGGTGTAAGCTAGTTTCAGTGCGTCAACAGCTCGATGGGGAGGTCCTCTGTACCGTGTCCGCACTCGCACCCGCGCGTGCCGGCTCGTGGCTACGCGGCAGTGGTTTGGACCGACGCGCACGGTCTGCATGCACGCTCACGCGTATAGGACGCACACGTGTTTGACACATGCACACATGAAACGTGCCCAAACGCACGTGCATTGTCCAGCATCATGGCCAGCAATATCCCCATGTGGATTCTGAGAGCCCGCTTTTGTGAAAGCGTTTCTTTACCATCCATCGAAAAAGTGGGGGTAAGAGCGCTTTTGGCAGGGTCACGTATGCGAACTACAGATACTGGCTACATCTCTCCGCCCTCGATAGAAGAACGATAGTCTCGGCCGCTCCTGCTGTTCCCTCTATACGAAAAACACGTAATATATTTGATACATTCAGGCGTTCTTCTGCACACCATTTGGTGTCCAACTATCCGATAAAATCAGACCAGACGTCACAGCGCCCCTATCTGGCGTCACCACTGACGTCACAGTGCCTCACACACTATCCGGTGTCCGACTATATGATAAAGTCTGACCAGACGCGTCACCACTGACGTCACGAAGTCCTCCCGCACACACACTTTCCGGTGTCGAACGATAAAACTGACAAGTGAATGACCACTTGTATTGAGTTTGGTGCTGCTGCCTACTCCTGAGCAGGTTTCTAGTCGTCTCTGGCATCATTCGCCTCGCCACCAGACCACCACTGCCAAACATGCCCCAAGCTTTGCTGAACACAAGGGAGGGCGTGGGCTACGCGTGCAGCTGGGAATCGGCAGTTCACAGGATTAGATTGATGCTTTGTAGACTGACACTTCGGTGATTGGTGAATCTGGGCAATTTCAATGACAACGCTAGTGAATTTGCAATGATTTATGGCTTTGGCAAGTGGGAGCGAAACATTGCGAACACACAGCCATTTTGGGTGGATACTGGTCGTAATAAGCATACCTACACATGTCACTTGCGCAGCCTCGGCTTACATTACAGCGTTCTGTTAAGATACATTTCGGGAACGGTGACGGACAGACAAGAAGCTGGGTTGGGGTGGGGTAATATTTAGGTACCGAAATCAAGGCCTTCTGATAGTGCGCACGTCGGCTGCTGCGCCCAGAAAGGCTCAACTCCAGGCTGGACGGACTGGACGGTCCATCGCTTTCTCTTTCACTCACTCTCTCTCTCTCTCTTCTGGAAAACGGGACGACCGCACCGGCCAATGAACCCTGTTTCCCCATAGCTCTGGCACTCGCTAGGCGTGCGGCCTCGCTTGCTAGTCGTCCAAACGAACTCCTCGAGTCGCACAGCGATCGTAAAATCAAGCATGTATTGCGTACATGTCTTAAGTACAAAGCGATCTCTGTCAGTATCCAAACACAGACTGCAATCACTCCCGATCACAAAATCAAGCTCTGCCCCGAATTTGCAGCGGCCGGGCGCGATCTCTCAGC